GTAGACACAGGCGCACGACACAATTTCACACAGTCCAGCAAATCTTCGGAAGTCCGGATCCGTTAAACAAACACTCGCGTTCAGAAGTCCTGGCCTTTCCGGAATAAGGCCGAGAGTCTTAACAATACTACGCACATTAGCTGCTACTTCTCGAAAAGCAGACCTTGTCGAGCGAGGTCTGCTGAATCGTGCGGCTCATCCACAATGAACAAAGGCCCAATAACATAATTAAATCGTATGGCGCATTATCGTTGATGGTCTTTTTGAACGGTAAGAACTCAACAACATGAGCTGCAATTGGAATTTTTTATTGTTCTCTTAAGAGTGTCCCTCATACGGTCCATCTAAGTAATGGAGAGCTATGTATATACATCATTTACCACTGGCTGTGGCATGTAGTATGTTTGGACAAGCCACCCAAGCTTTCCCTAAAGATTGGCATGTCCGATGGATTGATAGATGTAGGTGCGGGTTCACTGAAGCACATACAGTTGGATGAAAGGGGCATTCCAAAATGTCTCTCACTCAACTTTCGCACTGAAGCAACAGTAAATATTGCTCACATTAAGTCCAGGACTATTCGGGAAATTGCTGGTCATGTCGTGTCTGTGCATTCGGTTCCCATTGGCATGCGCACCGCCATTATCACTTTAGACGGCAAGCTCAAATCGCTACCCCAGATGAGTAGTGGTGACGCTTGCGCCGTTAAAACATCGTATGGATTCGTTGTCGATCGCAACAGTGTACGTCTCACCAGAGACCTTGTAGACTGACGCCATGAACTTCTTGCTGCACAACTTCCGTGCGGTGTGCCTACAAGATGTGCCGGTGATAGTCAACGAAGATTTAAACGCTAATGTTTTTCGACGTGAAAACCAGTGGCTTGTCGCGTTTCTCGATGCTGAACTTGGACTTCGCCTCCTGCAGGACGTCACGCAGTCAATTCACAAGAACACCTGTTTATATATTGTCCATAATTTATTATTGCCAATTCAAGCACATTCGGCCGAGTTCACCACATTTTGTATATTTCCTAAATCTCCTAGCCTTACTTCGTATAACAGCCTGATACGTTGCTATCGCATTTATTCTTTCAACCTTTGCCGAAACTGTTACTTTTATTGCGATAGCAGTTATATGAACACTCTCGGCTGGATTTTGCTGCCGGCGTCGCCGTCACTCACCGTGTATGTATGCATATCTATATATATGAAAATACACGAAAAAAAGCCAGAAAAACACTCCGGCGTGCGGAATCGAACGTGGGACCTCTACGTCATAAAAGTGAGGCGTTAACCACTGAGCCACCACAGAGCACGTCCTTCACCGCTTAAACGGCAAGCTGTTTATATCTACCCCTTACCGTTGCTCACGAGCATCTCGGGGGGGGGGGGGGATTTGTGTTTTCAGCATTACCAGCAAGATAGCGCAATGAATGCGCGTCGCCACATCACGCGGCGCCATCCACTGTAATCACCTGTGCGTACTTTGCCTGGCTTAGAGAAGGGGAGCGACGCTCCCTCACGCACCCTTATCTCCTGGTGGCAAGGATCGTACGTCTTCGCTGGCCTCGGGTTTTACCTGGAACGATTCTGCTGTAGTTACCGGGCGCACAAAGGTCACTGCAATCATTTCAGTCCCCGTTTGCAAAAAGCGTGCGCTTTTCAGACACAGCGAAGTAGCAAATGAGACGCTTATTCGCGTGCATTCATACCTGTGAGTACGTTTCGTGCATCATTTGTGCGTGAAAAACGCTGGGAACGTTACGATCTGCTTTCTATTCTGCACGTGACCTTTCAATTTGTTGCTATCACGTTCATTGCTTCGCCTTTGCGGCAAAGCTGTGACTTTTTTTTTGTTGGTGAAACCTTGATGCCCTTTTTTTTATTAAAAGACAGTATTTTTTGTTTTTAAATTGAAGTTTACTCACTCACTGCATTATGAAATCCCCTCCTCGTTTGATTAGATCGATAGATAAGCCGTCTTCTCCTGTCGCTTTTTTGGGGGGCATACGTCTCATTTCTTTTCTAGCCTTACCTGACATTACACACGGAACTTCACTTTCTTTCTCTGCTTTGAGTTCCCTTGAGGATGGATGACTCATCTGTGAACTGTACAGTTCCGAGTAGTTTGGTCATCCCTCTGTAAAGCGTCCTTTTAGCTATTTTTATGCTGCTTCTTTTTGTTTTTTTTTTCACTGCCATTTTAGTGTGACTTAATTGATTGTATAATGACATGCTTTGTTTTGACTGATGTCTCCTCTAGTTGCTCCTTTGAAGAAGCCAAGGCCATTAGTCGAAACGTTGGCTCCTGCAGCACCCTATGCTCAAAGATTTTTCATTCCTTCATGCTAACATTTTCCCCCTCTACACTATTTTGATTGCGTAACGCCGAACAGCTGGACCAGCTTAACTGAGCTATCGAGCCCTAATTGTACAGAGACCACCCGCCAGAATGCCCTTACTTTTAGGCAACCCCGCGCCTTGCTGCGAGTAGCGTATGCTGGAGGTCCCCGAATGACCACGAATGTTAATGGAACAGGGCAGCGTGCCACGATTACTTTGAGCTAATAGACTTGCAGAAGCCACGCAAAAAGACCAATTTTTCTGAAGTGTCATCAGATCATATCAGAGACACTAAATTTAACGTGAGGTGGTATGTGCTATACCAGCGCTTTGATTATGTGGCCTGGCTTACTAGGGTACTCTGGATTAATCTTGACCACACGCACACACACGTATGTAGAACTCCTAAATCAACATCGGTGTTCTTGATTCTTCGCCCTCTGTCGGTCGAAACACGGCCGCCGTAGCCGGCATAGAACCAGCGTCATTTAGCTGAGCAGCACCACTCACTTGCTGGACTACGTATATACCACGCGTCTAGTCCAGATGTGTCGGAATAAGCTTCTACTTGGAAGTTCGCGAAACGGTGTCGCGTATCTCTTGAGAGCACCGCTCTCTCGTAATGGAATATTAATGCGATAGCGTTAAAGAGCTTGCGTCGCAGAAAACCAGCCGCCGGCGTTTGCCCCATTAGTCGTGAGCGAAAAATCGTCTGTGCATCAGTGACTGAAAAATCAAGTTACCGAGACAGCCACGGGAGGCCCCTACTTGTCCACGCGCGCGCGCGTGATCACACTGAGAAAGCCACGCATTCGAAGAAAAAAAAATTGCTCAAGGTCACGAGGTGCAGTAGTTTTTTTGCCCTGCCAACCCTCCCTGCTTAGCTTCCAGCGCTTTCGTCGGGGCGAGTGAAGAGATAAGGCAATTGCAGCATGTGACAAACCTTTGTAACTACACTCGCACTGAACGGATTCTTAAAATCTGCGGCGTTGAATTTGTGAGGCAATAAGCTCTTTTAGTGAATTCATTCCTTGGTTACTTGAAAAAGTGCTTAAGGGCCCTTTTAGCGCATTTTGTTCGGCAGGTGTCACGACGAAAACGAACCCATTCGGTGATAATAGCACGCGCTGATCCAATTTACTTTGTACGTGTTTGTGAGCGTGCGTGTGTATGTAACAAAACGTATGAATAAGTATGCACTTAGCAGTTGAAGGATGCACTAGGAATTGGATTTCGCTATAGCGTTGAACTCTTAAAGGCTAAGCTTAAGGGTCCCGCAATTTTTAAACTTCCGTTCTTTTGTTCTACGTTGCCCATCTCTGCCCGAGTGCTCAGTGCGGATGTAATGATTTGATTGATTTGTGGGATTTGACGTCCCAAAAACCACCATTTGATTATGAAAGACGCCGTAGTGGAGGACTCCGGAAATGTTGACCACCTGTGGTTCTTTAACGTGCACCCAAATCTGAGTACACGGGCCTACAACATTTCCGCCTCCATCGGAAATGCAGCCACCACAGCCGGGATTTGGTCCCGCGACCTGCGGGTCAGCAGCCGAGTACCTTATCCACTAGACCACCATGGCGGGGCACTCAGTGCGGATGTACATATCGTTGGAACTGTATCTGCGATATGCTTATCCGTGGGTATATATAAAATTGGGGCATCAGCCCCGCCCCCTCCGATGATATTCAATTTTGTACGTGCCTCCTGTGAAAAGGTCTCAGTGCGTCATACTGGTTTTGACTCGCTAAGCGCGGCACTCTATTCTACTTAAAAGCATAGCATAACACGAAAATCTAGCCGCTGAATTTCCTTCTCCCTTCGAACTGATTGTGGCTGGGTGTATAAGCAAGTGCTGTTTGGTTGAGTTAATTCAATATCACGGGAGTGACGTACTGCTTGGTCGACGGCGAAGATCTGTTGTACGCCGCCATATATTTCCTGTACACTCCGCAGAGAGCTGGAAGTGGACATGTGCGTCGCGGTGGCGAATGCGCAACCAGGTAATATGAACAAATAACTGACGCAAGTTTTGACTAGCCACTTGAAAATATGGAAACTTACAACCACAGACTTTGATATGGTGTGAATCGAATAGTCTCTCAAATACGATTAGAAGATTCACTAATCAAAATGGTTGAATATTTGTTTTTGTCTCGTACACAAGGAGTCCAGTCACAAATTAAGTTTCAAGGGCGAAGCAATACTTTTTTGCAGACTAGTTGGTTCATACTTGAAAAAATTGAATTGCTGCACAAACTTGAAGAAAAAAACGAGAGAGACACGCGCTCTTTCCTGTCTCTCTTGTTTTTTTCTTCAAATTTGTGCAGCAATTCAATTTTTTCAAGGGCGACAAAGCGAGATGTATTAGCATAAGCTGCCCCCCCCCCCCCCTCCCTTGCGAGCACGCCTATGGGTATAATTCGAATGATTCCGCTACACTCTATATTGTCTCGTGGGGTATACATAGCGACACATGTATGCAGTTCCTGCACGGAGAGTTACCTTCTGCCAAGTAATTTAGCCATTGATGACTCCCTTTTAAAATGGGAACTTGTTTACACTTATTCATACTCAATGTCAGCATTTCACCAAAACTATGTGCGATGCTGCGGTATAACACTTTTCTCCAGCAGCGAATGATGCACCGAGATGAGCACTTAGTGAAGAGTTCTTTGTTATTTACAAATTTTCACAGTTATTCGGATGTCCGATTGCCGACGGTAGACTACATGCTCGTGTTAATAGTGATTCTACATTTATCAACGAAATCAAACACATTACGCGCAAATTTTGAGTTCATCGTTACTTTGAAATGACGCGACATTCGCGCTATTTTGCTATATAGGTGTTCGCGAGATATTCACATTAGACCCTCATATATAAGCCCCCCTTTTCATTATGCATGCCCCGTCGGATTTTTTGGGTTTGTTTGTTTGTTCGCTCAGAAACATGCAATGGCAACTTGTGGTCGTTCTATGCCATCAGCGTTGTCCAGTGGTTGACGTCACAACGATCGCTTCAATAGCCATGTGTCCACGGTGCCACAGCCATCAGATCAGTAACGAGACGAAACTCCCCGAATAAGTAGAAAACATTTTTTTTCCCTTCACCACACGTGCCTTTCCCGCAGTGGACAGGCAGCTGACTCAGGCGGCCGGTTTCTCGCCGCCTTGGACGTCCCTGTACCACTCGGCGCTTTTGTCCTCGTCGATAGCTTTCTGCAGCAGGCGCTCGGCCTCGGGGTCGACGGCAGACAGATGCCGGAATGACTCGGCGTCCACAAAGCAGATCTCGTGGCCGTCAGGGTCGGCCAGTATGACTACGCTGACCGTAGCCTTGCCGGGCGTGTCCAGGCGCGTGAGCGGTGTCAGCACCTTGTGATCACCTGCCCGCGCCCGTTTCTCGATGTCTGGCAACTCGGACGCGGAGCACTCGAAGGCCACCCGGCCGTACGCCTTGGCCCGATCAATGGGCTCCTTGCTGAGCACGAAGCGCAGCCGGCATTGTGCCTCGCCGTACGACAGAGTGGCCGTCTTCTCGGTGCGCTCGTGAACGGCCATGCCCAGCAGGTCATGCCAATAGGCCACAGTACTCGCTATATTCGACGATGCCAGCACGACTTCCTCCACCGGGTCAAGACGCTTCATGTCATCGGGCTTGACGCGCCGCTTTATTACGAACCTGCAAGTACGGTGTAAACACATACGTGTTTTGTTAAATTCGCCTTGCAAGACACGCAACACTCTTAGCATAAAGCACAATTGACATAAGTTGCCAGGAAAATAAAGGGCGGAAAAGCTTCAATCAAATAGATAATACGAATCATCTGAAAAACAGTGTTGTCAGCCGGTCACGAGTTACACACATGTAGGAAATGATTCGATGATTCACATGTAGTGTTTAACGTCCAAAAACCGCCATATGATTATGAGAGACGCCATTGTGGAGGGCTCCGGAAATTTCGACCATCTGGGGTTATTCAACGTGCACCCAAATCTGAACACACAGGCCTACAGCATTTTCGCCTCCACCGAAAATGTAGATGCCGCAGCCGGGATTCGATCCCGCGAGCTGCGTGTCAGCAGCCGAGTACCTTAGCCACTAAACCATCGTGGCGGGGCACATAAGCAGGGAACACGTCAGAAAACAGTACACTATTACACGCTCTAAAAACGGTAACACTGCGGCTAAGGGTGACAAACTATTCAGGACGTTACTATAGCACAAGAGAACTACTGACTACTTTTGCATAGTCACCCATTTATGCTACAAGTGAAACTCGGATGCAACGAAGATGAATGAGTGCACTTTTTTTGTTTCGTTAAATAAGGAAGTTTGTAAAATGAAAGAAGGCGCTGTCCTTCCAAAACTTGACATTTCCAAAGTATGCCGGCATTTGAATGCCGCCGAACCATTTTATTTACCACACCAACACACGCCTGCGCGTCTGAGAAGTCCGCAGCCGGAGTTTCCCATATCCGGGCGGTGCAGGCGAAACTGATGGTCACGTGAACCCATGACAAGCGGATGACGTGAATAGAAATATGCTACGAATTCCCAGCAGTCATAGGCGTGAGCACAGAAAAGGGCGGGGGCGTCTCTAATCATCTCAAGGCCTTGCAGGTGTGTGACGATATAGTGGCAGTCAAGTACCACGTCTGCTGTATTCCACAGCTAATCACTTCCCATTTTCACTCCCACAAAGCCGGGGAGTGAAGGCAGGCTGTGGTGGGAAGCAGCACGTCGTCGCTTTTCCAATATTTGCACAGACTGCGCAGCACAGCAGCCTGTTCTCTTTGCACTGCGACCAAAAGGGGCGACACGGCGACGAAGACTTCGTTCTCCCTCCCTAATGAACGAAGAACCCCGTGCACTCCCACGGATGTAGTGATCATGAACAGCAAGAAAGTTCCGAGAAGAGGATGAGTGCCATCTGTCGCGTAAACCCTAAAATAACGAAAGCAACTACCATGCGCCTCTGGAACAGGGACAAGAAACCACCGCCGCCCCTAGCGCCAGCTCGTACGCAAAGGCGATACCGACTGTTAATTAAGGCCGCTGTTCGTTGCATGGGCGAGGCGTTCAGTCCAAAACTCGATCGAACGAAAGCCAATTTTACGATTTTCTCGATCTAACGAAGAAATTTCCATTTCCCGGCAGGTGCCCATAGGGTTTAATGTTGTCATAAACTAGAATTTATGAAGCTTCCATGACACTGAGCCCCGCCGCGGTGGTCTAGCGGCTGAGGTACTCGGCTGCATTTCCGAAGGAGGCGGAAATGCTGTATAGGCCCGTGTGCTCAGATTTGGGTGCACATTAAAGAACCCCAGGTGGTTAAAATTTCTGGAGCCCTCCACTATGGCGTCTCTCATAATTATATGGTGGTTTTGGAACGTTAAACCCCACATATAGATCAATCAATCATCCATGACACTGAGATAGATTCAGTGCTATGACTCAGTGCCAGGACTACACTCTGCTTGAACCATCGACTGTTACCGAGGGTCTTTTACCTATTTCTGTCTATGCCTCTGGCTGCTTATATTATACACACACGCCCACGCAGTGTTTCACGTAACAAAATCCAAGGTTTTTAAAATAGCGTGGTTCACCAACTACGTATGGTTCGCCGTCATCTGGCGCTCGTTCAGGTACGGTAATATGCTTACTTAAGATCAATTAGGCTTAATTTTTAATATTCACTTCAGGGCCAAGTTCGTTACGCTGCACGGGGCACACCAAAACGACCGACAAAATGTTTTGCAGCAACGCATACACGGAGCGTGGTGATCTTTTAATGCGTTTAAGGAAAGCCCACGAAGCATAACATAGAAGGCCGTCAACCCATCGCTTATCAGGGACGACGGCGTTTTCTAGCCGTCTGCCGCCGTCAAAAATGTTGACGCGCAGAGCCACGGCCGCTCATTGCGCCCCGGCTACACACGTGTGCACGCCTCATTAGGCCGACCACGTAGTTTTGGTTTCAAAGCACTCTACGTAGCCGGAGAAAAGGTGAGAACGCGCCAAACGGAAGCTACAGATAAACTAGTTCATCGTAGACGCCGTAGACACTGTAGCATAACGTATGTGCATACGTGCAAGCTATTGGTGGCCGCCGACATTGATCGTGTCCTCTGTAAAGGCATTGAGCCGGGCAGCTGGTTCAAAAGCCCCAGATGAACGTTTTCGCGCTGATAGCATGCACTGCCGCGCTGCGTTTCTCCCATATCAGGCACTCAACGCCAGTTCGTTCAGTCAGATCATTGGCAGGCATACGAATACGGAGCCCTGATGGCGTGCTCGGTCATGAAGGGTCAGACTCGCGCATGCGCAGCACCTGCTTGAGCCTATTGTCCACCAGACAGAGGGGCCACAGACTTGAGAAATTATTGGATCATCTGGGTTTCCTTTTTGTGCCTATGTTGAATTGCGTTTTCTTATGAGGAGCCTAGTTTTAAACACACACACACACACACACACACACACACACACACACACACACACACACACACACACACACACACACACACACACACACACACACACACACACACACACACACACACACACACACACACACACACACACACACACACACACCACACACACACACACACACACACACACACACACGCACACACACACACACAACACGGTTGTCTAAAGGGAAACTACAGAGAAATGATTTTTCACGTATTAGTAATGTACAATTGCAGTCCCGAAAACACTACGTCGCAAGACGACGCTGAGTAAGGGAAAAAAGAAAATAGGAGTGGAGACGCCACCTTGAGATTCACGCACCAAACACCATGACACCACAGATTTTGACGGCGTATACTGGGTTCTACGCAATTTCTAGCCGGCAAAAAAGAAGTACATTGTCACCTGCGGGTGCGATAGACCTAACATACGCAGATTCAGAAAATTTCATCGAGCCCATGTCGCGAAAAATAAGAAAAATACATCAAACTAGTGACGTCACATGCGGAAATTTCGACACGAAATTAAAAAAATAAAACTTCAACTTTATTTTTTTCGCTAATAATGAACTTATGATCGTGAAACTTGTGACATTAGCGTTCTCAGCGTACAGTTTATCGATCTAAACCAACTCATTGTTTCACCTTGGTGTCCCTTTAGTTTGCTACTGAGAGTGCAGTCGATCGTGCTCCAACATTTTTTTGTGAATGCGCCCGTGTCATCGAGTCATCCCAAGCCTGCATTGCAAGTTAAATTGCAGATGGTTCGATACATTCGGTATTCAAGAGTAAATGTTGAATTTGGCACTTACGCTATACCTGAAACATTTGCATTAGGTACACTCTTGATTCGAACAGCTTTGAGGGCGGAGGGGGGGAGAGGTGCTTTGGGTATACGCGTTGCTTTCGAAAGTGCTTAGAACACAGCTCTCGGGAACTATTTGTTGATACCGCACATAAGAAGATCGCATTTTATGCTTCCTTTTCCTAAGCAATTAAGCGCTTGAAAAATCGTACGTTCGATGCTCTGTTTATGCAATGCAGACTCCCATTAGCATCGCTCCTTGGAACGGACCTGTCCACAAACTCTCATTTTATGTCTGCCGTCGTCTGTTTTGCATTGTCCTCTCGGCACAAAATGATAGCAACGCTACGGGGTCACATTCGAAACGAACTGCAAGGCGGCCATGTTGGTTGTTCTTGGTCACGATCAAGTTGTCCACGAGGCACGTCCGCTACTTAAGTCAATCTGGCTCACTTCGATTAGAAAAGGTCCAGCATATAGTTTTTTTATTCAAATATACAAAACTACTTTTTAGCATCCCTGCCGGGAGTCCATCAATATTATTTAGAAATGTTTTTGTTAATGAAAAAAAAAACGTAGGTATGCTTCACAATTCCTTGTCTTTGGGTTTCTGGATTACGAATAATAATAATAATAATAATAATAATAATAATAATAATAATAATAATAATAATAATAATAATAATAATAATAATGTGTTACTATCATTACTATTGTTATTCGGGGTCTTGATTCCCAAAATCACGATATTGTGTGAGACGCCTTAGTAGCAGGCTTCGGAAATCTAGACCGTCTGGTGTTCTTAAACGTTTATTGACAATATACGCGGATCTCTGGCGTTTCGCTTTTATCGAAACGCGCTTCAGGATTAGGGCCAACTTGAAAATGAACTCCTTATATACCCCTCTCATTACTAGCAGACCACGCGCACACTTGATTTCATATTGAGTCGGGATTCGATCCCGCGACCTGCGGGTCAGCAGCCGAGTACCTTAGCCACTACACCACAAGCACGCGCTTCAGCACGTGGCGTGTAGACTCGGCGCCTTCTCTCCATGAATGGAGAGGGCAAGCGGCTACGCGAAGCTGCCCTCCTCTCTCTTATTAGAGATTAATAGGGAGAGGGCACGACGCAGCCTCCAAGCCACACGCTGCAAGGCGTGCGTGGTGAGGTCAGGGGGATTCGCTCGCAGGATTTCAAGCTGGACGGTTGTGCCCTCGCGATCTCCGACTTCAGCGTAGCTCCCGCCGACTGGGTCGCCCTCCGCGGTCTCCTGATGCCGTGTAGCTCTCGCATTGTGGCACCCCGCCCTTGGACTGCTTCGACCAGATCCCCACTTTCCTATCTCCTTCTTTTTCCTCTCGTTGGCTGTCTTCTTCTGCTTCTACTTTCCTTCTATTCTTTTATCCCTCCTTCCCCCCACCCCTATAAGGCACTGCGCCGTGTCGCCTGAAGGCAGACAGAAATTAGGTGCCTTTTTCCTCTTCATTGTAACCACTACCACCACCAGGTCAGGCTTTATTTTAGGGCGCGCTGTGTCTTGCCGCGCTAACGCTTTGCCTGCTTTTTTTTTTTTTGCTCACTTTCTGTAATGATACACTCGGTGAAGCTCCTAGATAACGCAAGACAGCCGTTAAAAACACGAGAAAAAAAAAAGACCTTAAAGCACCGCCCACACGGGACTTGCAGCGTCACTTGACGGATTCGGGCACGTGCCCCGCCCCCTTAACTCGAAAGTCTGCCGGGAAACAACATCCCAACTACGCCGTTGCACGCTTACACGAGCCGGTTTTTAAGGTCAGCTGGATTGAAGTCGCCTGTTTACAAGTGGAGGCTGATTAACCCTGTTCCATGGGGGGCCTGCCAAGTAAACACGTCTGCATCAATTCTTTCTTCAACTTTGACCCCTGTGCGATCTTCTCCGCGGTTTGTTTATGTCCTCTTGTCAACTTTTCAGTGCCGCGCTTGTATTAAAATGAATGTTAAAGCTAAAGTGGATGCTTGGACGAGTTGGTGTGCATGATTGGTAGCATTTCCTTGCTACATGGGGCTCATTAAAAACAAATGTGACGAGATCACAACATAATTATATCTCGGAATTTATAATGGTCCCGACGTCCATTGGTATTTTTCTGCCCCAAAGAGGATAGCTAGGTTGCGTAGGGCCGTCAACCTCGGCATCCACGATAATCGAGCAAGCCCAACCAATTCATTGGAAAATGTTGGTTCCTTGCGCTGAAGGTCTTGTGGTATATTCCCTACTCCTGTCCTGCGGCAAGTCATCGACCAAACGGGTCGTTGTTTGAATGAGTGGCTAAAGAAGCGTGCGCTTCTGCATTTCTTCCGCGGCATCTGACCCCCTCGGCATTCATTGCAGAGGCCGTGTTTGCGTTCCCGTCTTCCAGCGTTGTGCTGCGGTCAAATGCCGCCAGGACTAGCTGATACGCGAAATCCACCACGCTTCAGAAATGGCTAGGCTACACAGCGCGCTCGTCAGCAGGCCTTTTATCGCTTTATCGGACGAAAATTGCCTTTCCTCAGCACGTTGGTGAGCGTGATGGTCATGGCGTACGTGGGATGAATTTGAATGTTTTTATTATTGCATTGCTTTTATCGTTTTTTTTGTACATATCTGGGGTTGTGAAAAATAAACATAGCTGTAGGTCAGTGCCATTGGCTGTGTCCATCCTTTACCGGTCATGCGCCCTTATTTTGCCGGCCGACGCGATCAGGGATGATAGTGATTATTTTGACTTGGTGGTTTTGGGTGTTATTTCCAAAGAACACCAAGACAAGGGTAATGGAGTTTCCATGATGTTATCAGCTGCAAAGTGCCTGTAGCGTCGCTGTAAGGGAGCAAAAGAATTGTCACTACAATGTGTATGTGTGTAAAGTGAATTGGTGGAACAAAACCAACTTACGGTATGCGGACGACATTACATTAGTAGCAGGAAACATACAAGACTTATGAATGCTCATTCTGAAAGTGAAATAAGAAAGCGAGATTAAGGCTAGTCCTTTTCTAAACGTTAAGAAACACTAAGGTTAGGATAATCACAACGGCAAAGTGTGTACTTTGGATATTAACATGTCATAAAGGGACGACTACTACATTAAAAGGTAGTAAAGTGTCAGTAGTACTAATACTGCCTACCAGGGCCTTTGAGTGCAGGGCAACCACAGTACGAATATGTGGGCCTGATTACATATGTAATGTGTGAAAATCAATATAGCAATTTAAAACTAATTTTGTATCGAATAACACTTTCTCACAGGCACAGCTGAAGTGGAATATTTAGTTGGTGTGCTAACGAAAAACACCCTTTTCAGCTTCTGCCTCCCAACAAAGCCATTCACCGGATCTAACACGAGTAATTACTCATCACCTGTGGGCATAAGACTTTGTTCCATAAGATATTCCATAAGCATTATACATACAGTCTTAAAACATGTGGCACAAGATATACAAGTGAGAAGAAAAAAAAAGAAGAGACAGAGAGAATGCCATTCAGACTAATTTCGTTTTTCTGAAGTAGAATATAAAGGCATTGAAGATGTGCACCAACCTAGATCATTCTCTGTGCGTACATGCAGGAAAAAGACAAATTATGAAATGCAGATCCCCACCAGGGCACAAACGACATAGTTAAAACAAGCAATTGAGTTTCTACAATAAAAGAAATAAAAACATGCACAGCAGAGCTTAAATTTGGACACTTCAAGCACCCCATCCCTTCACACCGAAGCCCCCACACCCACCCTTCAGGTGGTCTGCATTGCAGAGATACTATATGTATAGTGGCAAATAGAAATCAGAAAATCTTGATAATGAAATGTAAAACACTAGTCCTTAAGGCAAGCTGTGGGACAGATCGTGAATTACCAAGAGCAGACGAGTGCATTGAATTATCAAAGGCTAAGTGGCTGGCTGGAACTTTAGTTTCAACCTTGATCGTGTGTGCTCATAATATAAGGCATGTCGCTGTCAGCCAAGGCTTACATACCGAAGTTAGGAAGATGAGCTCTGGAGTAATATAAAATTATTACCAAGGGATCCATAAAACACATTTTGAGAAAGGAGAAGCGAGACAGAAAAAAACCGTGCATCTCATAGGAAGCAGTTAACATAGCACAAGAATAAAGACTTCCCCACTAAAGCTAAGCAGCGCATGGCACACACAAGGTAAATAATTTGCAAGTGCCAAAAAACACACAAGGATGGACAAAAAAGGGTACTTAAAGGCATAATGCCAAGAAATTGAGACAGCAATTCGAATGGAGAAAAACAAGAGACATCTTCAAAAAACTATGTAAAGAAGCCCTTTTCCAACCCACACAACACAAAAGCAGGCTATCACACGATGGGGGGGGGGGGGGGATATGTTTAAGAAAAAATGAAACAGTCTTGCATAGAGTACAAGTGTAATATACAACAAACAGCTTTAAAAGATTAATTAAACGGGATATACAGCAACTATCAACCAGAAAAAAAAAGAAGCTGGCCAGACTAATTCCCCTTAAACTTGTCAAGGCACTGGGACCACAACCAACAAAATGGCTTAATTATATCAACAAATTAACTGACTGCATAAAAAAAACAATGCAAAAAAGTGCACCAACTATGACCACTTCCTTAAATTACGTCGCAAGACACGATTTCTAATGAAGAAGGCCCTGAAATACCTTGCTATTATTTTACGACTACAGTACATGAGGCAGTAAGAACAAAAGCTGTGGCTATAACTTTGTTCCTGAAAACGACAGCCAAAAGAAAAGATTGACGAGATCGATGTCGTAAATAGTCGAAGCGAAAGAGAAGAAGGATATACAAGATGTACGAAAAAAAGCTAATACCTCAGATATATAAGGAGTTCATGAATGCATTTGCAGAGTTCAGTGCATACAGTACCATCACATGGATGTGGCTTGCCCTGATTTATAGCCCCAATCTTATTTATATATGTAAAATCATGGCATAATTGCGCTTATCTACACCTGCAATACCAACATAAAGGAGCTAGAATGGTTGGTGTATGAACAAGTCAGACAAAGCCGCTGGCACATCACAACAGGGAATGGGAGCATGTGTACCGTTATTGGAAATAAATTCTGCTAGTTATTTTTTTCTTTTTTTTCTCACAGTTTATGAAGAGAGCCTCTGTACAGATTCGTGTTTTTTCGTACGAAAAATCCAGTGAAAGGATTGCAGCTTGATGCACTCATCAGGCAATGGAACAGGTGTATGTTTCACTTTTTCAAAGACCCATCATGGGTCGATGGGACACATACATGCCACTGTTTTCTCATAACTAATGATCACATTTTGGTAAAAATTGCTTCATAGTATTTATAAGTTGATTATCTGGGTATTCCGCAGGTATATTTTTTGTCACGTGAAAAAAAAAATGCATTGACCTGCGAAGGGCTAAAGAAGAATGTAACGTACGGCCTTCTAAATATTTAAAAGGCCGCGTATACACAAGATGATTGGGTGGTCAACTGCCTTGTGGATGAAAACATTCAGACAGGAAAACACGGCTGCTCATACATTTGCTTCCTTGTCTTTACGCCCCACCAGGTACGATGCTATGCGGTATATCGAATGTTAGGAGATCTGCTCTACGTGCGATTTCTTACGCTTCGCATTGAACCTACCGGAAGCGCCTTATTCCGAGTTCCACAAGCGCAGCGAAACGCTGCGCTGTTGAGCATATTAAACGAGCCTTCAGTAACAAACATCCGTGAACACAAACGCGTGAAAGGCTGCGGAGACCAAACCGAAAAAGCCTGTAGGGAAGGAGGATCGTCCCATTCAGTATGTTGCATGTGCAACATTGGAGGTTGAGTGAAAGTTGACTCAAACTGATTACATTTTAGTAATTTACCTGTGCTTTATGGTAGACGGCACTTGATAACTGTAATGAATTACGTTCCTCAAGGAACTCTAATCCCGACAATTTTTTTTTCTACAACGTGTACCAGTCGCGCACGCATCGCAAGCAAGATTGGCAAACTCTGACCTGTATCCACCGGGTGCGATGAGAGCATCGTTGCCTTCGAACTTCTCGACAGGCCAGGCGTGGCGTCGAGCATTCTCAAGCACATTGTCTGAGCGTATGACAACAGCCACGAAGTCATTTCCCTTGGCATAGCTGCCAATGCCGTAGTTGTACGTGAGTTCCATAACAAAGTGGCTAACTTCGGGTCCATAGCCGATCATGGTTTTACTCCAGTTCAGGTCATACGGGCCGTTACAAGCAGCACGACAGCCGTCTTCGAACTCTTCATGCCGCAACACTTGCATGCCCAGAATGTCTTTGAAAAACCTGATCGTCTCTTTGCGATCGCCTATCTTGAAGACGAAGTGAAGTGCACGCCGCACCATAGTTGCAGGAAAGGTCGAATGAAAGCAAGAAATTGAAGGTGTGACCTTTGTCCTACAGTCGCCACCGCCAATATCGAGTAAACGGCTGCGAACGGACCAAATAGAACAATGCCCAGTAGTTCCCGCACGACGCGACAAACACGCACGAGCCGACTGACCAGCCTTGCTGTGCAACCGCGCCCCCTTTCAAGATAACAACAAAGTCAGAAGCCACGCCAAGTTACCTATTTAGCCAAGGCCAGTAGAAATCTGGGCCAAGGGCGAATGAAACAGGGCAGCCTTAATAACAATCTCCTCACGTCCCCCTCCTCACCGCTAGAAGAGAGAAAGATAAGAAACAATTAAATGAATTTCTCTCTATGCCGCCGCAGTGACCACAACGAGGTCCACGCTAGTTTTCGTTACTGACGCGCGAATTTTCGAAATTTCGGTTGACTGTTCGGACGCACTTGAAAGAAAATTATATTGCCCTTAGATGGCCCAGAAATTTGTTGTTTTAGGTAAAGTTGTTCCATTCTACTGACATCGCCGCATATTGCCACGAGGAGCGGCACGAGCGGCGGTGCGAGGAGGTGGGGGAGCTGGAACCCCTAAAATTTCTGCCTGCTCCCCACCCCTTCCCCTTCAAGAGCAAGCGTACAAAAGGGAACGCGCGAGTTTTAGCCGCCTTCTCGAACCTCTCAACAAACTCGCTTGTCGTGAGTGCCCCCTCACTGCACCTTGAAATGGATCACCTTTTCGTTTGACCCTCTTTCAGTGTGCCCTTACCGATTATGCAGCCTGGTATAGTGAGGTTTCATTTTGTGAGATTCTATTATACTGTTTTTCTCTCATAGTTTAATTACCCATAGTTTACACCAATATAAGACAAAATCAGCAGTCAGCAAAAGCCGGTCAGACATGGTGGTGAGAATGTCATCAGTGCAGTGAGCCTGGTTAGTTATAGATATTCTTAATAGCAAAGCAAATAGTAGAAAAAAGCACTACTATTTTAAGCAATATGCTATAACACTTCCATAATATAAAAAAAATGCCATGCCCGTGAAGCACACTCACAGCAAAAGCTGAAGGAGCAGCCTTTCTAGAGTGCCCAGTAAACTCTCTTGAGCGCGACTATTCCAAGTACAGTTGCAAGAAACCCATAATGCCACAAATCACCACAGTTTTGTGGATAGAGTCGGGAAATACCCACTATGACATCATTTATCATTCTGCTGAGAAGCAATGTGGCCACTATGCATCTCTAAGACATTATATGCACTTTTGTGGTGCTGTGACTCATGACAAAGAATTATGGCTTAGCCCTTTGTAATGGTTAGGTGATCTGAAACCACCTATGCATTCGTTATGTAATTTGGATTGTGTGACACCTTTCTACCACGCTACATTATATCTGTTAATGCAATTCTCTGCCTGACATGATGCCTGTACTATTATTTTTTTTTTTTTTTGCTAAGATGCTTTAAGCACTAGCCTGGCTGTGAGACAGAATACTTGACTGCCATGCAGAGGGCCCAACTTTAAATACCACTCAATCCTTGATTTTTTTTCTCATTGTGCCTGAAAGCAATTACAGACAATGGCAGGGGCAAGTACACTACCAAAATTGGCTGTTATTGTGATTTCATGACAGCTCTCGCTGTAAAGAAGCATCGCTTGGGTATGATCACGAGTCTCCATATGAGAAAACTCATCAGTCCCGTACATGGTAGTCACAAAAATTTAGAGCTTTTGTTGTAAATTTGTTAGTGTTGAGCTTGAGCACAACATTTCATAGTATGAGTACAAGTATCTGCAATTTCATTTTATCATAGTGACTGAGCTGAAGACATGTGCACTTCCTGTGCACATACATCCTGTTTACAACCTTTTCCATGAAAGCCACAAGTAGTAGGGGCAGCAACTCATACAAAGGTGCAAGTTATACCCCAGAATTAGGGTGCATATCGTAAGCTGGAAATTTAGGTGCATTTTTCAAAATGTCTTTGTCTAGACTTACTTGAAATGATATATCCAAGAAAGCGTTGCTTAGCATGGCTTTCAAGAACGTTGCTCCAATAGCAGTAACAGCAATTTGGGAATTTAGTTGTAATTTCTTTTTAGTGTAATGCTAAAATCTTTTTGCCTAATCCTGCAAACCAAAGGTAATGCAACATAATTAGGCATTTAGGTACCTAAGCGAAAATCTGTTAGGTCCTTCTCAAATTTTCACTAAATATGTCAGCTTCTTGTCCAAAATGGTATAGAGAAGCATGAGCATTGACTGCAGAGACAAAGCCACCTCAGTATGAAAGCTTCTGGCATGCATTCATGAATGCACTGCTCTCGTTAACACCTATGCCACCGCTGCACAAGTGAAATGAAAAATAATAAAGAAGCTTTTCTTTTAATCTCTCTAGCATATGAAACCAGAAGTTGATTAAATGATTCGCTCGAACAAAGTTTCCAAGCTTCCTGCATTTATTTCAGTACAATACAAAAAATCTGAGAAGAGAAATTGTCTATTTTGTTAACCACATTACGGAATGTTGACTGTACACCAGAAAACACTGGCATTCTGCCCTGATGGGAATATGAATACCATAGAAACATAGCTATTAAAGTGGCTGACAATGGCATTGTGGCATGGTACAGTAGTGCATATAATAAATTACACCATGAATTCATAAAAGGAAGGTTTTTGCTGTGAGCGCAACTTTACATTGAAGTGTTGCTGTAATTTTGTCAAAAGGTCGAATCTTTCAAGCAAAAACAGTAGTGTGGGACAATTGACAAAGACTTTAAGGCCTGCACCAAGTCTCCAAAATAGATTCCAGAGGAGACTTACCATGACAACTTACATACAAGAAAGTCTTGCTAGAAGCACTGCTTTGACAAAGGAGGAGCCCATTGTAAAACCTTTCAGTATGGTTTGTACCTATCTAACCGGTGCACATTGTATTACTAATTTTTTTTTCTGTCGACTGAATAAAATTCGTTTTTGGGCATACCTTGTACATCATGTTTGAAGTAATTCAGCAGTCATAGCCCAGGAATATCAAGGAACTTTTTTTTACACAACCGTTTGATTCATTCACGGGGCTTAACATCCACATCCCAAAGCAATACTGCGGCATTGGGAAATGCCACAGTGAGGTTCCTGGGATAACTGTACAATAAAACAAGTGTTACTGCATTTCACTGTCCCCGAAATGGCACAGCAGGGGATAGAACATAAGACCATGTGCAGTGCAACATAATGCCACATCCACTGAGACATTATGTCAGGTTTTGCACTACAAAAACTGTAACACTCTAAAGAAAGAAAGCCACCATTGCAGTGGCCCTAGAGCAAAAACCAATATGAAAGCATAACCTTCATTTGATTAGCTGATAGTAATTTGTACTGCCCTCAAGTAATAAAACTGAGGCTTTATATGGTAATTTCATTGTCTAAACTTATTTAGCAATTCAGTTTAGTGTACCTTCAAGTTGATGTTGGCAATATGAAGTCCAAGCAGTGACAGAATAAAATTACAAGGCAGATTATCAACCTTCCCTTCCCCCTCGCTAATCTTCCCAGCAGACACTAGATAAATATTTAGTTTGCACAGAGACGGCATAACTACATAATTCTGTACAACACTTCATGAATACATTCACTGGTTCTGCCACTAACTTATATTTTATGGGCTTTCTCTACTAGGTGAAATTGACATGTTCCTGATATCGATATTTCTATACTAGTTGCCCCTTTTCATCTTTTTCGAAAGGAGGACATGGTTAAGTGTCCCGTCATGCAGACTTGGCATGCAGTCTTTACTCACCGTTTGCATAGTTATAGATAGATAGATAGATAGATAGATAGATAGATAGATAGATAGATAGATAGATAGATAGATAGATAGATAGATAGATAGATAGATAGATAGATAGATAGATAGATAGATAGATAGATAGATAGATAGATAGATAGACAGACAGATAGACAGACAGACAGACAGACAGGACAGACAGACAGACAGACAGACAGACAGACAGACAGACAGATAGACAGATAGACAGATAGACAGATAGATAGATAGATAGATAGATAGATAGATAGATAGATAGATAGATAGATAGATAGATAGATAGATAGATAGATAGATAGATAGATAGATAGATAGATAGATAGATAGATAGATAGATAGATCGGTGGGTGGGTGGGTAGGTAGGGTCAAACTCGGGGAAGTTCCCTAAGAAATCCTTCGCATTTATAATACGAGCTTTGTTGTCTGCAAACTGGAGAGATCTAGTGTGGCATCTACAATGTTGTTTGTAGCAGTGTGCATGACTACGTCAATGTGCCTTGCAGTGTGCTGCTTGGCGATGGACACACTTGGCTCGTCTGGAGTCCCATGAAACTTCTATCAGCCAGTCCTGAAGCACTGGCTGGTGTAAGCATACCTTCTTGAATATTATTTTATTCCAGAGCCATTTCGCAAGGTCAAATTCCCTCAAGTACGCCTGTAAAAATGTAGACGAGTGAAAAAGCTGCAAATGTTAAAACTGATGGAGTTATAGTTCAGAGAAGGCATGTCGATATGTAGGAAGAATATGGACACACTACTTGTAGGTGATTATGACAAATTAATCACTGAGAATTGCAAATGGGGAAAGGTTATAAGTAGTACGCTAATGATACTAAAAGCGTAGCATATTGTAAAAAGCTCAAAGGGGCACTAAATGAAACAACAACTTGGTTTAGATTGATAAACTATATATTCAGAGAACGCTGTTCATTGTTAGCGAAGAAAATCAAGGTTGAAGTTTTATTTTTGAATTTTGTGCCAAAACCTTTGTGCCCGACATCACTAATTTCAAATTTTATTTTTCGTAATTTTGTGACGTGGGCTTGATGAAATGTTCTGAAACTTGGTATGTTAGGTTTATGGCATCCACAGATGACAGTGTGCTTAATTTTTACCGATTAGAAACTACGCAGGACTCAGTAGATGCCGCCTAATCTATGACGTCACTGTGTTTGAAGCGGGAACTTCAAAGTGCCGTCTCCACTTTTATTCGCGCGTTTTCTCGCTAACGTTGATTCGCGGTAAACGTGGTATTTATGGGACAGTGAAACTGTACTTTACTAATACGCAAAAAATCATTTTTTTCTCTTCAGTGTCTCTTTAAGCTTTTATACAGCCAGAGAATATACC